AGATGAAAACATGTTACTTTTTAATTAATCTGGAAACATAGCAAAATAAATGCATTCCGTTTCTTCATTATTTAATTTACACATAGATTTTCATTCATATAAAATGAATACAAAATCTGAGGCCATTCTTTTAGATGTAACTTCATAATATACAATACACATTATTCTCATTTCTTCAAATTTTGACATTCACAAATGCATGCAGAAAATATGCATACACACACATATATATATAATGTTTTCCAGAATAGTAAATATACGTATATTATTAACAAATTAAAATCTAATATACTTATTACTTCATACTGAATATCAAAATAAAAACACCCACCAGTTATTTATCCTTGAATAATTTTCACTAAATACAAAAATTTAAAGCTTATTTACACGTGCTCAATAAATATTAAAAACATATTGATTCTTTTTGCATTTGTTATTTATAGACACATATAGAAAGATATTCAATGTAAAATTTGCAGCAATTAAGCAATTAAGAAACACTTCATTTTCATAACAAAACATTTGTTTCATAAATTTCAGATATTACATTTAACTGAAGTTAATATAAAGGAATAATAATTTGCCTAACATAAATTAATATTTTTATTGTAATAGGTTATGAAAAAACGTTGTGTAACTATAGTAATTAACCTTATTAATGTATACTCACCGAAGCATGTTAAACAAGTGACTCCAGATTACTGATATTAAATTACTGTATAATAAGATTACTGACTGTATTAAATTACTGTATTAATAAGGATTGGTTTTTCCTTTTCTGGGGTTTTGCTTGCTTTTTAAAACGATCATTACGAACTTTAGTATAATTATTCAATAAAATGTTTGAAATTGAGGATAAACATAACCGTCGTAATTTACCAATTTCCATTTTACATGAACATATTAACTGTATAGATCCAATATTCATGAGATCTAGTTTTTCTTCAGAAAGCTGTATCAATAAAAGTTTTTGGTTGTTGGCACATAAAAAGTCAGTTTCATAATGTTCTGAAATAAGTCCCTGAAATATCTGAAATGTAACTGCAATAATATATACAACAAATTCAGTAGGCCACAATAACCCCCCCCCCTCTATCGATGCACTTCACTCCAATAATCTGAAAGATTATTTTCACATTCTATATAAAACCTTATCAGAATGTAGAATATTTTTGCATTTTGAACAATTTGTTTTATTAGAGACTTTTCGAGTCACATATCCACCTATATAAATTAATACTCTCATATCTTTTCCGTTATTTAAATGTTTGTGAAAAGGAAATAATTTCATTAAACTTTTCAGTGCTACATTCAGTACTTTGTCTAAATCATCATTATCCGTTTGTAATGTCTTTATTGTGAACTCCCCGTTTTTTGAAGAATTCAATTTCATCCAGCTAATTAACTGGAGTTTCTTTTCAGATTCTAAAGCCTGAGTCAGTGAAATATGGTAATTTGCACCACTCATTTGGCGATGCCCAAATTGTCCAAATCTTGAAATTTTCCCTCCAAATTGTTTAATAAATCGAAAGGTGAAATAAAGTTGTGGTTGTATGTTTGAAATTTTCCATACAGACTTTTCCCTCCCATCACCACATACAAAAGGTTTGGAAATTTAATTTTAATTTTGAAAAATTTCAATTTTAAAATTCGTGGATGACATGATAATACTCCACCATTTCAAAATTATTTCTATTAATTTTGTTCCTCTGCTAAATCCTGTTTTGCTTTTAATTTGATATGTGAACAGTCTTTTCATCAAAAGTTTAACGGCAGTAGAAACATTCTGCCGTTCTAAAGAAAGTTGGATATAGAACTTTTTTCGAAAGAGCTGGAGCTATTTTTATAGAATGCTGTGCTGCTCTATGTTATAATAAGTTTTTTTCAGATGCAATAGACTTGCACAGTAACAACTTATTATCTGTATCATCAAAAGATGGAATATTAAAAGGTTTGATTTGGTTTCAGCTTGGTTTAACCAATTATTCCTTATACATTTCAGTAAATGGAACTGAATCAAATAATAAAAAAATCTTTTTTTCCAAACGAAATTCATTTTCAATAGCAGACACCATATGACCATTGCATAGCATTTCAAACATTTTCGGTTAACATAGTTGTTGTCGGAAATTATGGAAACAACCTCGAAGCCACAATCATGAACAAATTTTAACACCTGTAAAGTTTGAATTTTTAAATCGTTTGGCTTGAGATTATGGACAGGAAACATTGCAACAACTTCTTTATTGAAGATAAGATTGAAGAAATCATAAAGGTTTGAATTGTAGAAGCTTCTTGAGACATATCTGTACATGACAAGCCTTCAATTTTACCGTTCTTATATGCAACAGTAGGTTTAATATAAATCTCATCAAGTAAGAGATTCACAGCCTTTTCATGATTTTGTAGTTGTGAAGATTTATGAGATAAATACTTTGCATTTAACCCCGTTGTCGACCAACATTTAATGCTAACTTTTTTAAGTAGGAAGGATGTGGTAAAATCAAGGACGAGCTTTCTCGTATTCGAGAATAACACGTAGGGCTGCTATAAAATAATGTGCAAGCCCATATCATCATTTCAGCTGTGTAGGTTGGGCGTTTAGCTTTCAGTAATGATATCTGTTCCCTAAAAAAATTTAATCGGTAAATCAGCAGGGGAGAACCCCTTTGGATTGGGCCTTCTCTTCAAGATGGCCTTGGTAGAACGGTGTTTAGGACACCAGGGTACCTAGGCCGAAGGCCTTACCCCTTGTAGAACATTTGGTAGCTTCGAATGATGTGAGATGAAGTAACCAGTAAATTCCTAGAACAAGAATGTGTAAACAACAAAAATCATAATAAACATATCAATATCAGTTACATAAATTTTGGTTCTGGAAAGCTGTAAGATATAAAAAGTAGCATAATAGATGATAAATTGCTACTAGCGGCAAAAGCCGTCGAGCTGATCCAAACAAAGTCCTGTGCTTAGTCGTCAAAGTCCTTTCGTTAGATTCTAACTGCTCATTCGTCGGAGCCAGTCACGTGGGAGGTCACCCTCCTAGAAACTGACCCCAATCGATGCTGCTTGAAAACCAGAAAACTGGAACTAAGAATAAGTGTAGAATGTGAAGAAAAAGATAGTAAAACGTAATATTACTGCATCTCTATTGATGTAAGGTCCTTAAAAGTCTTCATCAGCAATCTTCACAAGGTACATTGCAGCTTTAAATCCACATGAAAGTTTTTCAGCAGTAGTTTTTGCTTTCTTGATATTTTCAATGTGAAGAATGTGAAGAAAAAGATAGTAAAACGTAATATTACTGCATCTCTATTGATGTAAGGTCCTTAAAAGTCTTCATCAGCAATCTTCACAAGGTACATTGCAGCTTTAAATCCACATGAAAGTTTCTCCACAGTAGTTTTTGCTTCTCTTGATGTTTTCAATGAAGGTATATGATTTTTCCCAGAAATTCTTGAACCTTATCGTCTCGTACTCCAAGTTAATAAGCTTTGCTAGTATCTGCAAGGGACTTGGTTCAGTTTATTCTTTAATTTTTCGCACTGTACGAGGGTTTTCTGAGGTGGAATGGGAACTTCCTTTCTGAAGTTTTGATTTGTAGTAGGGCGTGGAAATTCATCATTTTTGAATAGTAGATTTTCCGTCGTCTTGCGGGAGGGCTGGTTTCCGTTCAAATTTTTTCTGATTCACCTCGCACCCACGATAACTGGATACATGATTTTTTCCGCAAAATAAACATGTGGGAGTTCCGTCCTGCTTCTTAGGGCAAGTGTTACTGCAATGTTTATCTCCGCATTTGCAGCATCTAATTTCGTTAGTGCATAGGTGCTGGGAGTGCCCCCACTCCTGACATCTAAAACATTGCATCGGTCGTTTCCTGGGGGCTGTACTTTTCAATCTTTATGCTCACGCTGAATATACAGTTCAGCTGATGTATTGCGTAGCCTTCTTGGTTTCTTTTAAGTTCAAAAAGCCATACTGGCAATTTCTCTGAGTTGTATTTTTTGCTCCGGGAAAACTAGTGCATATTTCTCTTAAATCGCGTTTAACTATCAGCTTTTGTTTGAAGACAATAGGAGAGGGTATTTCTTCAGTGCATTCATTTTCTGATGCTTTCGGAGTATCATTCAATTTCTCGAATCTGTTTTCAGTAGAAATTTTCATCTGGTCAGCCGTAGGAGGTTTCCGCGCCGTTTTCTATGGGGATATCCATGGGTTTTCCTTCAGTTCATCATTTTCAGTCTGTGGAGTGTTATCTGCGGGGCTAGGCACTTCTGCTGCGGGAGTGCTGTATGCGTTATCTATTGCTTGAATACTTTTCAAGATTTCCGGTTGATGACGTAACATTTTCAGTATTGCTGCATGAGTTTTACTTGGAGCTCCAGAAATCATTTCTTGGGTGATATCAGTCTCGGATAAGGTAATCATCTTCTTTTTCTTACTTTTCCTCCTGGGTGACTTGATAAAATCTTCACGTCGGAGTGGAAATTGCATAGATTTACTAGAAATCATGGACCGGTCGGATTCCATATCGTCATCGGAAGTATCACCTTGTGTCATAAACAAGGATATTTTGTTGTACCCAAGGGTACCTGCACCCTTGGGTACCTCAGAAATACGCAGTAAAACCTAATCAGAAACTTAACTGTCCGGGACTGGGACAGTTGAGAAAAGCTAACTGAATTATATACTGCGTACGGGTGAGGTTCGAATTCGCCACGTTCCTGTTTCAGTGCGGTTGAAAGTAGAGTTTGGTATAGTTAGAGTAAATAAAATAAAAATTTAATAATTTAAAATGCATTTTAAATCGTATAGTATAATATTACAGCGTTTTAAACTTCAGTATTGTTAAAATTTCTCTCCTATCTTTAAATTTCTGTTCGCTTACGATTTTGTTCTTTTTTAAATTCAGTCATAATTTCTGTTATCTGTCTACTTCATTACGTTAACTACATGAAGCACTTCTAAAAAATAATAATTATATTTTCTCCCTCTAGAAACAGCTCTTCAGAAAGCTATGGAATGGATGGTAAGATGTTTTTAACAAATTTTCATTATTCTTTTTGTAGCAACTTATATGTAATGATTACTTTTTATGTTTTTTATAATCTTATTTCTAAAGAGAATTGCGTAACAGTCAAATTCAGTGGTATTTAATTTCTGTTAAACAGAAAAGAGCAAAAGGTTCTGAAATTAGAATATTCATCGTGTTTGATGCTTTATTAAACTCAGCGGACTAGACCGACACATACGCGTTCATTCCCATAATTGGGTTCGTCCAGCTATATTACATTTTCGTGGCCTTCTCGAAATGCAAGTTTAATTTATTAATTAATTTCGAACTCACAATTTATATTTAAAATTGTCAAGAAATTGGTTTTTAGAATTTTACTTTATTGGGTAGAGCATTTTATTCTGAATAAAGTGACACTATTCTCTTATTTCTCCTATATTTTTCATGTTACAAAAATAATTATATGAATATTTAAGTGAAATATATATATATTAGATAAAAAGTAAGAAATTTAGAACCAAATTCACAGAGACGCGAAAGAAGTGGAATTCAATATCAGTAAATTCCAAAATTCTCTATAAATATGTAAAAATTATCAACCAATTGTCACCAAACTGGAAGAATTCCCGAAAACTACAAATATGTAAAATACAAAAATTTCAAAATAGTAAATAGGAAGAGGAATGCAATCAACTGGTTGATATTTTTTACATATTTAGAGGAAATTTTGGATTTTACTGGTATTGAAATTCACTTCTTTCGTGTCTTCCTGAAATTGGTTCTAAATTTCTTAATTTTTGTCTAAAACTGATTAATTTTTCAGCAGCATCTCGCGCGGAAATAATTTTGGGAAAAACTTTGTTTTAAAATAAAAATTTGTGATACTATAATATATATATATATCTTGAATGATCTAAAATTCATTGAATTCGAAAACAAGTTTTTCTAATACTTGCGCAATAGCTGCAAAGTAAGATAGTAATAAATTATTTACTAAAGAAATATTGATTATAGTATCTCCTAATATAAATTTAGTAGAATGGATCAAAAAAAGGGAACCCATATGTGGGAAGTTTAATTCCGAAAATAATGTTTTAAAGAAACTTGAATGTAAATCATGAAAAAAAAAAAGTTTTTTTTTCTAAGGGGACTTGAATTTAATTCATGAATAACAAAATTTCAAACTTTGAAAAAGAAAGTAAAAAACAAGTAATTATTGCTATTGATCGGAAATTAGTTGACTTTTCAAGGGGAACAAACCAACTCCCGTTCAATGAACAATAATTAATAAATGCGAAGGTGTTTCATCTTTTACTATATAAGTAAGAATGATGATGCCAAACTGGCAAATTAATTTAGGCCAAAATTGTAGTTCCTTGAAGTGATGGGATTATAGCCAAAGCAGAGTATCAAAGAACTCATTCTGAATGAAGCATTTTCGCTAATACAAGATTCTTTAGAAATTTTGAGTGAATAGCCAATTTATGTAGTGAAATTTACAAGATACATGAGTAAATGTCCCTCGTCACCTTCGCTTTTATGCATGCTAATTCAAGACTATTTTTATAAAAATAAGCATAATAAACAGTAGTAATTTTAACTGTAATTATGAAATAGAACTCAAAGTAATTCAAATAAAAATGAGAAAAATAATAAACTTAACTATGTTATCTTTGCAAAAACAAATCAAATAAAAGGTAAAAAATTGAAATATATATAATAAGAAAGTGAAATGTGAAGTGTACATGAAAATAAGGCCAGGAAATGCATTAATTAACTTACGTTCTTTCTAGTGGGATGTTGGTAAAAAGTTTTCTTCTGTGTCTTACTCAGAAGGGGGGGTGTCCGAAATTCCGTTATCGGCAGTGAGGATACTTTGAAATAGTACATTCTACAGTAGGGAGGTATGTTGCAGAGTTCTTATGTGAGTGAAAACGACTGTTAAAATTTTGAATATACTAACTAGTGAATGGAAATTAATTAATTTCTGGCTAATTGTCGTGTCGGAACGAGGTAGAAAAAAAGTAATTTTCACTGTCAACGAGCTGACAGACCAAAGAGTATGAAATAGGCTCATTTTTTTTTAGTAACAGCATAAGAAAAGTCTGAAAACAATTTTTTACATTACATACAATTTTGTAATTACACTATGTACAAATCCTTCAACTATCCATATATACCGTCATCCAATTTATACCGCCTTCTCAGTTTAGGAACAAATTATCATATCCCTATCAGTTAAACGATTTACAGTGAGTATTTAACGTCTGCCCTTTTAAGACAATGGTTAATAAATCGATTTAGGTATTAGATTATTTTTGAGAATTTTAATAAGGAGCAAAATTTCGCTTTGTAGATCTATCGTATCTGTGCGAATATTTTTAATACGTTGTATTTGATTTAGGATAGTATTACTAATAACATTTTTGGAGATGTTGGAAGTCCAATTTATTAATTTGTTAGTATTGAAATTAAAGTTTCTTGTTTTATCAAACAGTAAAATTTTTTGTAGTTAATTATTTGAAGATCAAGATAGTCGATGTTATTTTGCGAATGATTAGTTTTATTAAGTGTAAGGCATTCTGGATAAATCTCGCAGTATTCAATCTTATTAAAATTATTAAATGTAATAAGATCATCTATATATCTGTAAGTGCGCTTGTAGTAATTTAATTCTTGCTGTTGTAAATTTTTTGGAAGGTAAATTCTTTGATAAATAAAAAGAGATTACAGATGAAAGTACTGGAATCTGCGCTCATTGGAAGTCCTCTGACTTGTTTAAAAAGTTGATTATGAAATTTAATGTAGTTTTGAAAAAATGGTGCATTTTAGGTAGGTTTTTCCATTTACTAATGTTCATAATCGTGAGCATAGCAGGAAAGAGTTTAGGCAGATCAAGAAGACTACTATAGATTTCTTCTGAAGGAAGTGAGGTATATAAGTTTTCAAAGCCCATGGCAGTTAATGTTTTGTATGTTGATTGTTTGAATGACATTAAAGACAGGAGTGTTATGGATAATCCAGCAATAGTTATGATTAGTGTTACAATCGTTGAAAACAATTATACAATTTTTTAAGCTGAATTGCAAAATAGTAGTCTGCATTTTTCTTGTAGTTATTAGTTCCATTTGCTATGAATCTGAATTTTAGTGGTGTTTTATGGAATTTGGGAACTATATATAGTTTAGTAAATCTGTTGTATTTTGGATTTAAAGAGATATTTAGATTTTTTATGAAAAGTTTTAATTCTGTTAATTATAGATGTTTCTCTACTGTTTGCTAATTGAAAAGTTCTTTATTAATAATTGCTGCGTAGAATTCTTTTCATATAATGCTAAAGTTATTATTTGCTTTTATCTATTTTTTTGGTAATAGTAAAAAGTTTTTTTTTTTTAATTATTATTATTTTTTATATCAGACAGTAGTTGTGACCAATTTAATGTACTTTGAAACTTGAGGTGATTATGTGCGGTGGAAATGTGTTTAAGTATTTCATCTTTCCATTTTAAAAAGGTATCTGTAGGGTAAATTCAGTTGATAGCTTGCTTTAACTATAAATTTGTTGATGCTGTTTTCGAAAGTCTTGTAACAGTAATTTTTGTTTATGTATCTCACTGGTCTATATTTTGCTCCATAACTAATTAGTGTTTTTAGTTCATCGTTTTGTATGATATCCAGGTTGCCAGTTATTATGTGCTGGTGATGAGCACCTACGTAAGTACTGTAAATTGGTAATTTGCAATGTCATTCTGCTGACTCATCTATTTCATGGTAGTTAGTAAGCAACTTGCTTAAAGTCTTTTGATATTTAAATGCAACTATTGGTATGGTGTCTACAACTGGGAAGTAAGCTTTACATTCGTTGAAGATTCTTAGAGAATCAAATATTGTCAAACTGCGGATGCAGAAAATTGACTTTAAAATAAATTTTGCGTAGAGCCAGACAGTTAGAAAGTCTAAATTTACAAAAATCAAGAACCATGTCTTTAACAATTTGTATTTCGTTGTAGTTTTTAAGAATGAATTTTTTCAGTTTTAAAAGGAATTTATTAGTTCAAGAGGTTAACCATACACGAAATAATTTACTAAAACTAGAGAATTAATTAAGAATTATCTAGTTTTAGTAAAATATTTTGTTTTCATTTTTATATCAGTAATTGTATGCATTACTTTTTGCTTTATTAGGCAACTGAATTTATTTCATTAGAAATTGTTTTTATGTATTACTGATAGGAGAGCGAAAGTGTAGAGAAGGCATTCGTAATTTTCGGATGAACTATAATGCTTCATCAGCTAATTTGGAGTGAACAAAAAGAAAGTGGTTTTCCTAGAAAGTTGATTCCATTGGGATCTGATCGAGCTCCTCTTGATAACATTAAATCAAATATTGATTGCATTCCTCTTCCTTTTATTTTTATTGCATTTTTATGGATTTGTATTGTTATCGGTGTTTTTCCTAGTTTCCATATCCTGAGTTGTTTCGTCTTTTTACATTTTTATCGTGAAATTTGCGATTCTACTGGTTTTATATTTCCTTTCTTTCATGTCTTTGTTGTTTTGGTTCTATATTTATTACTTTTTGGTCCATAATAAATAATATTTCAGCAGTATTTTGAGAAAAAATTATTTGGGATATTATTGTTGCAAAGAATTTCTGTATGTATATATTAATACATACATATATGCATATGCAAAATTTCAGTCCAAGATTTCTGATTTAAATACTTTTCATCAGCTGCCATCGAAGTTAGTTTACACCAAAAAAACACGTAATATTCATTATAATTTTAGTGCTGTGTGAGAAGACGTACTTTTTGAATGCAGTCTTTATTATTTTAAATCAAATTTAAAAAAAAAATAGACTTGCTAGATCCAAATTTATTTAAACTTTCCTCAATGAATCCTTTAATTCGAATTTATGGAAATTTTACCAAAGAAAGTAGCTTAAGCAAAACAATTGCTGATATAGCTCTAAATGAAGCAGTTATAGCTTTCAATAAAGATTTGTCTTAATTTTGGCAAAACATGAGGCTTATCTTCCTAAGAAAAGAAATGTTTTCCTGTAGAACTTTCTAAGGAAAAGAAACTCATAACCCCATTGCCCATGGCGAAAGCCACAGGGCATCCCTGCAGCCAGCTGTTTCGCCGGTCTTTAAAATGAAGTTAAACTACCAGTGTTCAGTGACTTTATTACTCAGTTAGTAGTGGACCACATTTAATAAAGAAAGGAAGAGAAGACTGCAATTCTGCAAAATTTATATTTTCAGATAAGGCACCATTCTTCGGAAACAGCAAAATAATGTGATTTGCGAAGAATAACCGAAGATTAAAAAAATGCTGCATAATTTCATTTGGCTGTTCGAAGAAGGAGATAATTATATAATACAAAATTAGAAACAATAAAAGAACAATACAGGGTTTGTGTACGAAAGAGAAAACTTTAAATTGTTATAAAAATTAATTATGTTTCAATGAAAGTTTTTCCTAGAAATTTATATAATTTATATCAAATAAAATTTTAATAATAATTTAAATGAGAATCTTGTCACAAGCATTATGAACATCTAAGTTTGAAAATATGAGGCGTGATTTTCCTAAATGTCATTAATATTGTAATGGTGAGTACTATAAGTCACGTGTAAACATTTAGTTATTTTTGTTGTTCGTTATTACATTCTGTATTGTTCTACAAATTATTTTACATTCAATACTCCAGATATTATAAAGTATTATTTTAGTGTTAAATTACAATATTACATGAACGTGATTATATTGTTATGAAATTGAAGTTCGTATTTTAAAAGTGAAATTTCCTCAGACTTGAAGCTCACCAGCGGCAGAGCGGTAAAGTCGCTGAACACTGGTAGTTCGGTCCGAGGTTCGAATCCCGCGAACGGGCTGGCTGCATGTTTTCGTGGTTTTCCCCATGTGTAACGTGTATACGAGCCAGTTTCCCTTAGAAAGTCCTCCACGAAGGCATCCCTCCCCTTAGGCAGATAGCCCTAGTGAGCTTTGCCATAATTAAATACACCAACACCTCAGACTTGAAAAGATTAACTTTATCTTGATGCAGCAGTAAAGTGCGGTTCATTAATTTCATTCTTCTAATGAAGACTTGCAAATAAGGCCCGCCCGAACACACAATTTTAAAAGAAATGAATATACATATCTTAAAACAATTAATTTGTATAAACCCTGAAGGGGATGAATGCTGATACTGAAAAGAGATTTATATATCAAAGCTTTATATTTCATACTATTAAAAACAGTAGTCGACAAAACTATCATATTATCTAGACTATAAAAAAATTCTATAAATTATCAAATTAATAGGTAATATTAAATAATAAATAAAATACTCTATTTCGTGTTATTTGGAAATTTGGTTAGAAATGTAGTTTCACTCAAAAACTAAAAATTAGTTCAACCGTGCTCCGGTTGAATTTAAGCCCTGAATGTATGTATAATATTGCTATTTCAAGAGATGATAGAAACGAAGACTATTCTTCTTCCAGCACACCAATAAAAAAAAGTTTGGAGAGAATAATATTAACAGTAACGGAGCATGAAAGGAATTTAACGGAGGATGTGTAGCTATGAAAAAAAAAGTGGGGAGAGAAGAATCCAACACTTGCTGACCATGATCTCCTACCAATATGATTTTAACTGTCAAACAGACTATGGCAAGGGAGAAATTCCCCCTACCCCATTGAGAAGAAAGCAACAAGAGACAAATTTGTTCGGTCCAAAAAGTCTGCAAGTGCTCTTTTCCAGGAGAGCTCCGGGAACGACTGAACCGAAGAGTCGGGAGCTGTGCTCTGTGTGTCGTCGAGTGCATCGCGAGTTGTAGCGTGGAAAGTCTCGAGAGTACGTGGCGTTCCCGAGATCGACCGAGCAGAGTTGGGAGCTCTACTCTGGTGCTTTGCAGTGAAGCTTTCTTCACCGTTATAGCCTGATAGTGTGAAGGCTGTGTCGCTGATTGTGTCAGCGTGTTTATAGTAGTACTTCGATGACTGTGACGTGGTCCAGACAATACTGGCTAATAAAGTGTGTTTCGATACTTCATCAAGTAGTGTCGTCATTATTCACTCCAAATCCATACGAATCCCGTACGGACGTGAAGGACGAAAATAACATAACAATAGGTGTCAGAAAAAAAACGCAACAATATACTTAAAATTGGAAGACCAGGTTATCTGTTTCCAAGCTTTATAAAATAATGGTGACACTTTTATCGCTATCTTTACCTCTAAAGAAATATTGTACTTATTTTAGGGTTATTTTCATATTTTCATATGTTAAGATTAAATGCCTTCAGAATGCTGCATAAAATATAGACGATACCGACTCTTTCTTTAAAACTATAAATCATTAGTTTTCATTTCTTCAGAAGCCTGGAAGATAATAAAAGATGAAAAGAATTGTTAAACTCTTTTCAATCAAAATGTGTTCATATAATTCTAAAAATGATTTGCTATATACTATTCATTGTGAAATTATATGCAAATCTAAGACTAAACCGGTGATAGAAGAAACTGAGCACGAAAGATAGATTCCTAAACAATAGCTTTCTTTCCAAGATAAAAGGCAAAAATTCTTTTGCTATTTTGCTTCTTATCGTATTTTTAATCTGAGCTGCTACATAGCTCAAAGGTTTACTACATAGCTAAGTATTAAAAAAAATTAGGTTTGTAACCAAACGTTTCGTATCAATTTTCGGAGTAATTTCATATTATCTTATTATTATTATTATTATTATTATTATTATAGTTGTGATAAAGTTCTATAACTGATAATTATATTGTAACTTTTTTTTAAAACTATAAATCATTACTTTCCATTTCTTCAGAAGCCTGGAAGATAATAAAAGATGAAAAGAATTGTTAAACTCTTTTCAATCAAAATGTGTTCATATAATTCTAAAAATGATTTGGCTATATACTATTCCTATTGTGAAATTATATGCAAAATCTAAGACTAAACCGGTGATAGAAGAAACTGAGCACGAAAGATAAGATTCCTAAACAATAGCTTCTTTCACAGATAAAAGGCAAAAATTCTTTTGCTATTTTGCTTCATTTATCGTATTTTATAATCTGAGCTGCTACATAGCTAAAAGGTTTACTACATAGCTAAGTATTAAAAAAAATTAGGTTTGTAACCAAAACGTTTCGTATCAATCTTATCGGAGTAATGCTTTTCATATTATATTATTATTATTATTATTATTATTATTATAGTTGTGATAAAGTTCTATAACTGATAATTATATTGTAACTTTTTTTGTTGAAGGGAGACGCATACACTCTTAGCATTGTTATGCCAATTGCTGCTGGTGTTGTTTTTGCATCAACGATAATAGTATTTATAGCCACATGCAGATGTATCAGACGAAGATGTCGCCGTCGTAGACTCAGAAGAAAAGCACTGCCAGTAAGTTAAACGTTTCCTTTCCATATTTTATCAAGATGTAGAGGAGTTCTTTAATGACATTTTTGAAGTAATGCATTGAGCCAATATTTTATAACAAAGCAGCGTTTCTCATTATTATAAAGATTTCTGTTGTCATACTTAAGCCCACCAGCGGCCGAGCGGTAAAATCGCTGAACTCTGGTAGTTCGGTCCGAGGTTCGAATCCCGCGAACGGGCTGGCTGCATGGGCCTTTTAGGGGTTTTCCCCATGTGTAACGTGTATACGAGCCAGTTTCCCTTAGAAAGTCCTCCACGAAGGCATCCCTTCTCTTAGGCAGATAGCCCTCGAGGCTTTGCCATAATCACACACACAGTTGTCATACTTAAAGAATTGTTTTGCGTTACATTTGTGTTCTCGCATGCTAGCTGAGTTACCATATTCAAATTATCAGTATTGACAGATTGCTCTCAGTCATGTACTAGAATTCTGAATTAAATTTAAGCAACCACTTATCGAAGGAAGTTGTAAGCTTATACTTAGTCTAGTACTGGAACGTTTAGCCGTATAACCCGAAAAAAAAACACGAAGCAAATTATGACTATGTCTAAGACAGAACCGACAGACAGACAAACTATGTCTAAGTCTTAAGAAGGTTATAAAACAAACCTTTATTTAAACAGAACTCTGAACATAGGAGCACGGCATTGTGCTACAATAACCACAGCTCCTGGTGATGCAAATAAATTTAAACGTTGATTAGTAGTCTAAGATTACACAGTTAAATACTAAGCTACAAGATGGCTCGTTAATTTACCGATACATCAGATTAAAGTTTCGGCGGCGAGAGAAAACCGAGATAGTTACAACAAGCTAAAGCTGACAGAATTTAGGCACGTAGCGCGAGCGCCAGAAATGCTCTCTCTCTCAAGATCCAAAAACCTAGGTCTAAATAGGTAATAAATTCTGAATGAATTCCTAGTAAACGGAAAATTAAAAAAATACTAAAATTTCTTCACAATCTCTAAAATGTTCGACCTACACGCACATACACACAAGCACACACACATACATATATATATTTCGTTTCTTTAGACGTTTTTATAACTCGATTGGGTGAAGAATGACGATTTTAACTCACAAAACACATTTCCTTTTCCTGAACTTTGTGGCCAACTAAAGCAAAGACTCGAAATCTTCAAACATAGCCATCTTGTAGCTCGTTGCCTCCTAATACGACCCCCAGGATCCCCAAATAGACACACCTCTCTTCAAGTGTAAGGTATTTCTCCCGCTTTCTTAGAGTGCCTTCATGCTGTAGTGGTTCTGCACGCTGGGCTGTATCCAGAGGTCCGCGGTTCAATTCCCGGAGAAGGCGTTTGCTCATTTTTCATTTCTCCTGCTTTTTCAATTAACCTAATGTCTCTACAGTGGCGCCCGAACTAAAAGGGTTGGGAATGATGATTTTCCACACCCAAGATTTGGCGACTAGGTCCCCTAAAACCTTGATCACCCTTTAAAAAGGGGAGTATATAAGGTATTTCTCCCGCTTTCCTAGCATGCCTTCGTGCTGTAGTGGTTCTGCACGCTGGGCCGATATCCAGAGGTCCGCGGTTCGATTCCCGAAGGCATTTGCTCATTTTTCATCTCTCCGGCTTTTCCAATTAACCTTACGTCTCTACACAAGAACATCCATTAGCATAGCAAGAGTTTGCAAAGACCCGTTTCTTTTTAGATTGCGCTGCCATTTGTTAAAAATAACGGTTTCACTTTTCTGGTAACCATGCTATAAGGTTGATTCAAGCATGGCAACTTTTTTGCTACCGGATTTTGCAAGCCATTTTGCATCAGCAGTTCGCTTCTACTCAAGGTAAGAAATTGTCGTTCTTTGGTTTTACTTAAAAGATTTTAGCAAATTTGCTCTTGACCATTTCACATTCACAGTTAGTAAATTTAATTTTAAAAAAAATGTTTGGCAAAGTTTATTAATTTACGCACTTCAGCTGGCACCTTTTTGTTAAGGAGCTGGCACACAGGACAATCAAATTAATTTTTATGACTGAAAAAAAGTTTGAACTTATATTTAGTAGTTTATTCTTGCATTTTTATTCTTAGAATTTTTTGTTTGCATTTATTTTATTCTAGAATGGCATGTTTCTTTTTAGGATTTTTCTTGTATTTTATCATTTTACTGGTATTTGATAATATACTCTTCCCTTGACAAGTCCTCTTTGAAGTTCTGAGCAATTAACCTATGTTTTTGTTACTCCTAGGTTGCCATTTTAATGTATTTAGCACTTTCGGTTCTAAAGTTAATTGTTTACATTTTTTTAATTTTTTTTTTTTATTTCTTTTGTGATGTATTTCGGAAACAGAGCTAGGTAGAGACAAATATTCTTACGGCTTTTACTGGGTATTTTAATCTTAAGCTTTAAAATATATATAATATATATATATATATATCTATATATATATTATTAGGCTTTCAGAACATATATAAATTTTGCCCCCAATTTCTTCTACCTACGCTTATATATTTTAACAATGCCTCAAAGTTAGCAACGTTTTTACACATAAAACAAGCATTTTACATTTTACATTAAAGTTTACAGCATAGATTTTTTACAATAGCTCTCACAGGTAGCAGCTTCACACTCAACTTTACATTGTATTAGCGCCCTCTACTTATACAGTTGGCAGTACAAACTACTCAACTTCACCTAGTTTAGTAAATGCTAGTCCACACTCAGAAATTCAAATATGCAGTAGGTAAGTTAAATTAAAACTTGCTATTTACTAGCCTTTTCATTATTATTTTTTATATTTTGATAAATTGTATATAGTTTATTTTAGGTTTACATGCATAACTCGTGTAGGGGAAGTTTTCTATAGGCAAGAGTTCTAAATTACTTTGGTTTTCTACTCTTAATTGACATGTAATTAATTTTAGTTCTGGTCATGAAGTTGCTAATTTCTCAAAATTCCTACTAATTTAAATTTCTATTTTAGTAATTCACACCATTTGGTTTTACTTTTGGTTTTGAATTTTACTTTTACCCTTGCCTATACGGATGACGAAACACGAATTGAGTAATTGAAGAGTTAGGGTTTGAAGGCAACTTCCCCTTGATAAGTCTGTCTCCTGCTTGCTCAACAAGTGTTCACTTATGAAATTTAATATTTTGGAATAATATATTTTTTCATGGTTTTAGATACGTGCACTTTATTTACATATGCTCCTAGAATTTAAATGCTATTGTACATTAGTTTGCAGCAATTATTTTTATTTTTGCAATTAAACTTGTAATGTTGCGCGCTTCCAACCTGCACGCAACAATAGTGGTGACTGCTAAGAACTGGAAAGTAGACAAAGTCTTGAGAAGGGTTTAAATCCCTTTTTATTCAACCTTTAGAAATTAAAATGCGTGCTCTTGACGCTCACAAACTACGCCGACCCGGCGGTAAAATAAAAATAAGAAAGTAAAAAAAGAATAATAACAAGTGACTAACTACAAGGCTCTCTAAACGTAAACTAACCTTAACCGCGTTCTAAAATACCGCTGAATAATTCAACAAACTTCTGAATATTACTTTGAACGATTTAACAATCTGCCGAGGCAAGCACACAGGCCGAAACGCGTGGTTCCTCAATTCTAACTAGCCACCTCCACGCTCGTGAGAGCAAGAAAGCACAGTTTCGAACTCGTTTTTCCCTTCTATTTAACTCAGATTACTTCTTCCGCTGACAATTTGAATCCTTGCGCGTTCTCCTCCTAAAATTTACATACTCTAGCACTGGCAATTCCAGGGGAAAGTAAGGTTTGACAGGAAAAATAGTTTAAACTTAAAATAAATGTTAGTTAAAATAAATATAAACCCTACATTTGCCGCTGCCAGAATTTGGTAAACTTGGAAGCAGGTCCTAGAAACGACCTGTTGAAAAGTTTCCACAATTCTGAACTAAATTTTAAGAGCCTCGTTTACATAAAAAAAACTGTTTTTTCACAAAAGGTAGAATAAATTTCTGTACATACTTATTTAACCCTCTCTTCTTACAGCAACCTTTCCTGGACTTCAGCAATCAATCTGTTCTCTTCCTTCCAATTTTCGGCCATTTCAGTTCGACAAGTGTTCGGGCGCCAATGTAATGTTGCGCGCTTCCAACCTGCACGCAACAATAGTGGTGACTGCTAAGAACCGGAAAGTAGACAAAGTCTTGAGAAGGGTTTAAATCCCTTTTTATTCAACTTTAGAAATTACAAATGCGTGCTCTTGACGCTCACAAACTACGCCGACCCGGCGGTAAAATAAAAATAAGAAACTAAAAAAGAATAATAACAAGTGACTAACTACGAGGCTCTCTAAAACGTAACTAACCTAACCGCGTTCTAAAATACCGCTGATAATTCAGCAAACTTCTGAATATTACGTTGAACGATTTAACAATCTGCCGAAGCAAGCACACAGGCCGAAACGCGTGGTTCTTCAGTTTCCAACTAGCCACCTCCACGCTCGTGAAGCAAGAAAGCACACTTTCGAACTTGTTTCCCTTCTATTTAACTTAGATTACTTCCGCTGACAATTTGAATCCTTGCGCGTTCTTCTAAAATTTACATACTCTGGCATTGGCAATTCCAGGGGAAAGTAAGGCTTGACAGGAAAGATAGTTTAAACTTAAAATAAATGTTAGTTAAAATAAATATAAATCCTACAAACTTTATTAAATTTTAAATTTTTATTAGCTTTATACGAATAGAGAATATTTGTTATATATAATTATTTTTATATGTTTATAAAATTATTTTCTGTGTAATACACATACTAACAAAAAAGTAAAATATGAAATATTCATAAACATATAACACTAAACGAAATCCAGACTTGGGCTTCTATTAATTTCAGTAACAAAGTTTAACATTTTAAAAATTTTATTAACATTTTAGGTATAAACATTTCTTACGATATCGATGCGTTCTATGTCATCTTTAGGAGGAAGCATTTTGCACATGTGCAACCGTTCAAGAATCGAAATATCTTAGATATACAG